ACATCTTTGTTTTAGACATCATTAGCTGGAAGTTTGGGCTAACATAATTTTTTAATTTTCTTACTTTATTAGTTCTTTACCAATTTCCAGAGAAATATTGAAATTAATCTCAAAATTTTCTACAGAGCAGAAAATGATATTTTTTTGTACTTGACACATAAGTTATTTCGGTTGTATATCTTATTAGCCAATACCTAATTGGAGTTTTCTTAATTATTATTTATTTTTCTCTTATTTGAGCATAAGCCCATCACTGGCCTTGCTAGGAATTGCTTTTGATATCCACCTGGAGATTTTACACCTCAAGACCTAAAACAACTGTGGAGTTTTTATCGTATTTAGCATACTTAAAATAAGTTATATTTAAAATATGTAAGTCATCGAGTTCAATTTGTGATTCATTAGAACAGCCTGTGAGCCAAATTCATCTAGCCACGATTTACTTTCACAGCCCATAAGCCAAGAATGCTTATGACACTTTCAAATGGTTACATTTACAGTCTCAATTAAGTACGTATACAATATCCCCACTTTTGCCTCTCGACTCACAAAACCTAAAATATAGACTTATCTACCCCCTATGAAAAATCTTGCCAAGGCCCAAAGGAGACGCTAACTTCTGTTTTATAGTAAGTAATACGCATATCGTTCTTTCGTGAATTCTGTGCTGTGAATAATTATAAAATCGTGGTGGCATTTTTATTTGGTGTCAAGAACATGACCCAGCATCAGAAAAAAGAGAGAATATGGGATAGCACTGGCTGCTTTTCTTCCTTATTCAAAAATAATAAAAATCACGTGCTTATCTTTGAAAGTATATAAATAGTTTTAGGAGGGTTCTTTTAGTGCCATTGGATTAAATTTAACTGATAGACCATGGCTAATGTAGTTGCTCACATATTTTGATCAGAGAAGCTGGAAATATTTCATTCTTGAAATGTTTTAATTCATTGGGTTAGTTTTTGATTGGTCAACATTTTGAATTGCCAGTCTTTTCTGAGTGTGGATTATATAATTATGTCCTGAATTTTTCCAGTAGTGACATTCTAGTGGTTGTTTGTGCTTTTGTTCTCCACTCAAATATTTGATATACTATCAATCTTCTCTGATAGCTTATTTCTGACCTGAGTGTATAAGAGAAATATTTCATTAGTAAGGTAAATTCTTTTCACTGTATTCCTTTTTTTTTTTTTTTTTTTTGGCAGTGTTTTGAACCCATGACCCCCGGTACATGGGGCCAGCGCCCTACTTCTTGAGCCACAGGCACTGCCCCTTTTTGCTGTATTCTATATTCCAGAACAACCTTACACTGAAAAAAGGTATCGCCTGATAGGGATAATCAAGAATGGAGCACTGTGTCAAATAGATTACAATATGTAAATGTTGAACAAATAGCGATTTTGTTGTAATCTAAGGGAAATGTGTCATGGACATGGCATCTGTTTTCTTTCTTCTTTTTAAGACACATGCTTGCTATTTCAAGTCAAATCACAGTAGAATAAAGTGAACACAGTGATTCAGGAAGTAATGAAGCTAATGTAGGGCTTGGTATCACTAAATAACTTGATGATATAAGTCAGTTCAAAACACTTAATCTTTCTTGGAATGTGCAAATAGCCCATAATAAATTCCTATGATTTATTCAATATTGTTGCTCTTATAGCAGAAAGGAGAGGGGTTCTTTCTTTCTCTCCTTGTACCAAAATATTTGTTTAGGTCTAAGTCATTAAAAAACCACTATTTCATCTAGAAAGAAACATGTGTCTTGCTGAGTGCCTTAGGTGAGACATTGGGGTGGGGGGGAGTTATCAAAGTTTAGATTCTTGGAGGTGCTTCGTAAATTGAGTACAAATCGCTAAACTATTGTCAGAGGCGTTTAGCTTTAGTTAGAGATTGTGTCAAGCCTTCTTAAGTTCTAATTAAGTTGCTTGCTCTATTGTTTTCAGATTCAAAGAGCTAGATAATATTTCAGATTACTTTATTAATGACAATAATAATATACAGTATATTAGTATTAATATACAAGGTCATATATGAATGTTAGGAATGTGACACCTTTGAGTTTTCTGAGCTTAGAGCACTCATAAATTTGGACTTTTTCACCTAAAGCACATCACTTAACCTTGTCAGTCCTCAAGTTCACTTTCATTGTTAAAGCATTTCAGTGTTCTAATCTGTAAAACAAAGGTCGTAATTGTTCCTCAGAGTCATTTTGGAGGGAGGGAGGCAGCAAGCACAATTTCTGGCAGATAGGGATTAATAATGAGAAGTTTCCTCATTCCACCAAAGCGCACACATCTTAGAAACACACAAATAAGTAACAGACTTAACTTCTTTTTTAAAGAAAACAAAGGCAGCCCCCGTAGTTCAGCAGCCTTAAACTGTTGGGCTCCGGTAATCCTCCTGCCTCAGCCTCCCCAGTAGCTGTGACTACAGGCACCTGCATGACACCTGGATAGATGTTTCTATTTTTGGTGAAGATGGGGTTCAGTCTTGCTCAGGCTGGCCTCCAACTCCTGAGCTCAAGCACTTCACCTGCCTTGGCCTCCCAGAGTGCTAGGATTATAGGTGTGAGCCACCGCACCTGGCCTCCTGATTTCATTTTGAATAGTAATTTTAGTATATCATTTATATTCCTTTTTTTGTTTTTGACTCTAAATAACATTTCCTTTAAAAGCATATATTCATAACTTTGTTCCAAATAAAGTTATATTGGAATATGACATTGTTATAAATTATAGAAATTATGGACTCATGAAATTAAATATAGAAAGAGCTGAGAATTATGTACACGGAGTTAATGAATCATGTGAATTTGTGACTGCATAGCCACTGTGATAGGGTGTGCCTTTGCTGTTGTTATTGATAGTGGAGGTATGATTTAAGGCTGTTTACTTTTCAATGCCTGGTCAGATTAAACAAGCAATAATGAAAATTTTAAAGGTGATAGATATTTTCCCCCAAGTCAATATATCTCTCTGCTTTAAAACATCAACTGTAAAAAGTGTGTCCTTTTTTTCCTTGTAATTTTATACTACAATTAGGATTAATACTTTGATCAGCAATGTTGTAAAGAAAAGCAGTTATATTTCTCTGTGATTATTGAATAAAACTATTTGGAGGTAATACATTTAAAATATATTGAATTTTTTTTATTCTAAAGTTGAAAATTGGACCCCTTTTCAAAGAAATCAACTTCAAAGCAATATGGATTTAAAAGAAATGCTTAACCCCCAGTGTTCCTTTGTCTCTGTTTAAGTACTGTCTATCTCTCTCCTCGGTCTCCCTCCCCCTCCTTCACCCGCTCCCTTTCACTTCCTCACAGTAGCTACGATGCCCTGGCACCAACAGGCTGTTTTCTGGCAAATTTGTGACACTGAGACTGTGTCTCAGTGAAGGAGCTGCAGTGCGTGTTCTTTGAACCGCGAGATAGGACAGGCAGTCCCGGGGGTTACAGACGAGTTGGTTTTGTAGGTTTTGTCCTTAAGTTGAATTTGTATGCAAGTTGGAGCAGGTGCTTTTACCTGTTACCTGCAGTAGCCTCTGCTGGTAAGTGCAAGTTGTACGTAAGTCAGATGTCTGTAACTCGGGGACTGCCTGTACCATTATGATGTGATTGGAACAGAGTGTGTGCGTGTGTCTGTGTGTGTCTCTGTGTGTGTCTGTGTCTCTGTGTCTGTGTGTCTCTGTGTGTGTCTCTGTGTGTCTCTGTGTGTCTGTTTCTGTGTGTCTCTGTGTGTGTCTGTGTCTGTGGGTGTGTCTGTGTGTCTCTGTGTCTGTGTATCTCTGTGTCTGTGGGTGTGTCTGTGTGTCTCTGTGTCTGTGGGTGTGTCTCTGTGTGTCTCTGCGTATCTGTTTCTGTGTGTCTCTGTGTGTCTGTGTGTGTCTGTGGGTGTGTCTGTGTGTCTCTGTGTCTTTGTGTGTGTCTCTGTGTGTGTTTCTGTGTGTCTCTGTGTGTCTGTGTGTCTTTCTGTGTGTGTCTCTGTGTCTGTGTTTTAAAAGGCCCCTATTCTGCAGAATTGCAAGGTTAACAGGAGGAACGTAATTATTTTATATGTAAAATATAAGCTGAACAGACTTTCTTAAACCACTGGGGCAAGGAAATAATTGCATTATCTAAAAATAAAACTCCCGTACGTTTTATCCCTGAGTTCCTAGCTGAAAGGATTGACTGGCTAACAGAAGGTGCTCTTTAATTGACCAGGTACGGAAAGAGTACGGGAAGTGTCTGCGTACACACTGCTGCAGCGGGAACAGTACAGAGAGCTCCATGGGCTCCGGGAAAACCTCGGGTTCCCGAACTCCCGGGCGCTACTCCACAGGCTCACAGGTAACCGTGTCTGTCCCGTATTCTGTGACTGGTTGCTGTCCTTCCTGAGCGCTGCTGTCTTCTGCCCCAAGTCTTTAACCCATCAGTTGGTGTTACAGCATTATCCAACACTTGGAAATTTGGATTTAAGAATGTAAATGATAATGTAAGATTTTTCCGTTACCTATAAAACTTCCTGCTGAAGTGATGAAGAGGAACGTACCCACTACCCTTATTTCCTTCAAAAGAGAGAAAAGTGAGGATAGTATGTCTCTAAAAATGACATTGATCTCCTCATAAAAGCTATGGAAAACCTAAGTTCAGTAACATTTTAATAATATTCTGTATTCTTTCTCTGTCTTGCAAGATACTGTTTTCCTAACCTAAGTCTTTTGTTAGTAAAACTAGCAACTTAATGCCTGTTTAAACATTCCTAGTCCCATCAAAGACACAGGTAAATCATTTGTTTTTGCTTTGGAAACTACATTTTTCTAATTCTAACCACCTCGAGCACACTTCTATATATCTTCAACATATTTAAGTGGGGATAATATTTTTCATTTATTCCTTTTTAATGGTTTTGATTATCCTTGGTGTGGGCATTAAGAAATACACTGGCCCAGAGGCAGGTGTTAACATTAATATTGCTTTTAACGTTCTCATGCTGCTGTTTGCAAGTCCATAGAAGTTGTTTATTTGCCAGATGATGGAAACAAGGGCCTCATATAACTATGACAGAAATAAAAAGGATGATTTGTGTGAACATTCATTTTCTTTCTGCCCACCCAGAGCCGGATCCGCAGAATGTGGAATGACACAGTCCGAAAACAGTCCGAGTCTTCCTTTATTACCGGAGATATAAACAGTTCAGCGTCACTCAACAGAGGTAATTAGAAATGGTTTTTCATATTTATTACTTTTCCTATGACTTGAAGAAGTTGGTGAAGGCGTTGCTTGATTTTCAGCGTCTGAGCCTGGTCCCCGTGATAGGACTATTGCAGGGATATGAAACCTGTCTGAGCGTAGCAGTGGGTTCCATAATTCATAAGCCACTTTTTTTTTTTAATCCTGAATTTTCAGGAAATCCTTTCTGAAAGGAAGTTAGAAAATGAGAAACTTCTTTTCCTAGTCATCTGCTGCTGCTATAAACTGGTGAGCTGTCAGGGCTCACTGGAAGCAGTGAAAATGTGTAATTATGTGGCTCTGTAGTCTGCTAAGCATCATAGAATCCCACATTGTCTCAGGTCTAAAGCAATTTCACAGTCTTTGTGAAACTAAAAATATACCGTCTAATGCATACTTAAGGCAACCTGTGTACTTCGGGGAGAACTCGAATCTAATCTTAATACCTTAAAGAATTATCTGGATAATATTAAATATTTAAATATCAAGGAGGAAAAATACTTTGATGTGTACCGTAATCTCTTTGTGCACATGTGCTGGTGGGTAAAATGGTCCCTGGACATCACTTAGATTTTTTAAATGAAGTTCCCTTAATTCACTGTCTTGCTTGTGGTGGATTTTTTCTTATTATTTGCATGCTGCCTGCTGTCTCTCTCCTCTCCCTCGTGGGTGTGGGTGGGGGGCTGTGAGGGGATGATTGGCATTAATTTAACTGAAGTAAAAATGACTACATTTCTGCACAGCCAGATCATCCTGCAGTCAGCAATGGCACGTATTTATAACATAGTTTTCTCTGGGACAGTGGCTTTTGTATGAACTTAAGTTATTATCACGATCAACATTCTTTTCTTACCTCCAAACTAGACTTTGTTTCCTATCTGTTTCCATCAACTTTTTGTTACTTTTAATGCTGCTTAAGAACAAATGATGTAATAATTATGGCTTATAATCAACAGAGACCCAAACGCTGATGCTGTCGTTTTTACTCAAATAGGTTGACTCTAATTTATATAAAAGAAGTTAGGAAAATCGAAATCGAGTTTGATTCGGGGATCCATGTTTTAATATGAGCTTAATTGCATTTCTTATGTTATTTGGGCGGCGATATAGTTACTGTAATGCAGTGAGGATTTTGAATTATCTAGATCACATTGGCTCGACTAATAAGGACAATTAGTAGGACTATTCCTTCAACTAGGAAGAAAATACACTAAAATGAAGTAACTACCTTCCTCTGTTTCGTTTTGTGATTAGCTTTTTATTTGCTAGAATATATTTTGTTAAACAGTCTCCCAAGTAATCTTCCCTCTTTCAATTTTGCTTTGATGCTTATTTTTTGGATATTTATTTAAATGTAAATACTTTAATTTTTGACAATCAGAGAGAGAAAATTACTTACAAATGCCTCCAAAGCCTAGGGATTAATTTGTTTCTGTAGTGACTTTTTTATTGGAATTAATTTGTTTCTGTAGTGACTTTTTTTATTCTTTAAATAATCTCATACCTAGAGAAGATGACATAGTATGTTCCCATAGAGAAACTACCCTCATCAATTGGATTTATTTGTAGACAATTCTTACATTTATAAAAGCCATAGAATAATTTTTTAAACAGAGGATGAAGTAATATGCTTTTAAACAATGCACTGTTTATTTGCCTATTATAAGGCTGGATAAGATATATAAAATTATTACCTTGTGTAGTATTATTTAAATGTTTGCACTGATAGTAAGTATATAATTTTAGGAAAAACTGCTTTACATGGATAATTTTTTATGACCTTACAGTCACTCACATATAACATTGCTAGTAATTTCTTCCTATTTAATTCCTTCTCAAGAAATTCGTGAACTAGAAATATAGTAATATGTGGGTGGTTGGGCCAAACTGAATATATTTAAAGAAAATAACATTTTATATTAACTGGTTATATACATAGGTCTGCTTATTAAGATCTGCAGTTTCAAAAGACATTTCTAAAGCCATTAGAGGCAAGGTCTAAAATTTTTTTGTGACGAGGAGTAAATTACTTTAATGGTGACTCTGGGTGGTGGTTAGGGGGTTTAATTGAACTGCTAATTCAAAGCTTGCCTGGGTGGTGATCTTTTTCAAAGAAACACATACTCTTCTTTTTCAAGGACTGATTTTGATGGTGGCACTAGGAATCGTAGTGATCTTCTTAGCTTTCTGTATTGCTTAACTGTATGTATATCCCAAGTCACAACCTCCGAGTTTTATTCTCATCTCATTATTTTTTGTCCTAGATGAGGGCAGTACTTCAACTTCTATTTCTTCGTGTTATCTCTGTGAACCTGGCCTTTAACCTCCCTGTCTCACCTTGTCTTATTCCCAGGGTCCGATCTTCCCTGTACTCAGCCGTGTGTCACATATTTAAGTAGATGACACCCGAGATTCATCTTTTCAGACAAACACCTCGGTCACCCCAGCAACATGACTCATCAGTTCTGTATTTTCAAAAGATTACATTCTGTATTATTAAAACAAAACTCTGAGGCGTTGCGTCTTTACATCTTCATGTATTCTATCTTCCCATTCATTCATTTTATTTATTTTTTATTTTTTTAGAGACAGAGTTTTACTTTATCGCCCTTGGTAGAGTGCAGTGGCATCACAGCTCACAGCAATCTCCAACTCCTGGGCTTAGGCGATTCTCTTGCCTCAGCCTCCCTAGTCGCTGGGACTACAGGTGCCCACCACAACACCTGGCTACTTTTTTGTTGCAGTTTGGCCAGGGCTGGGCTTGAACCCACCACCCTTGGTGTATGGGGCTGGTGCCCTACCCACTGTGCCACAGGCACCACCCCCCCATTCATTCGTAATTTCTTGGAGCTACCTTTTTTTTTTTTTAATTCCAACCCCATTTTCATTTCTTTCTAAGTTAGATTTATCAAATTTCTCATTTTTGTCTTTGATACAGTTTGGGCCTTCAACTACAAGCTGTTATCTAAAAGTCAGTTCTGTTTTGACGTTAGGTTTGCTTTCCTGTTCATTCCACTCCCCAACTCAACAAAGTGCTGTTATTTTAAAACTTCGGATAGCTCATCCTCTAGTCTTAAATATGAGAATCAATCAATAGCATCTTTGGATCCATTAAGAATGACGAATACACCTTGCAGGGCAAAACTACTTGGCCATGGTTTTGTTTTTTTGAACTGTCACTAATAATCTATTCCTGAACCAACTCTTCACGTCATCTGTGTTCAACTTTCTTTCTATATTTCCTGTGACAAACTTGATTACTATTGGAATTTTACTCTTTGGAATCCCATGAAACCTTGGAAGATTTATTGATTATTTTTAATGAGAGTACGAATTTTTATTTATTCTCTTTGTAAGTTTATTGCTTGGTCACCTCATCTCTTTAAACCTTCATAATATCTATTTTTATGAAGATATTTCTCAAAATGTTTTCTTTACATTTTCAATTTTTTTTTTCCTCAAGGCTACATACTCAGGCAAATCTAGAATTCCTTTAGGCCAATACTCCAGCAGTACTATCAAGTTTACTGGACTAATACCACTGCACACACAGGTGGAAGGGGCTTTAGGGGAGCTATAATATGATGATTACCGAAGAATTTAACAAAGGTTCACTGTGAGCCAAGCCCATGTGTGTTTTATTTTGTTTGTTTTGAGACAGAGTCTCAAGCTGTCACCCTGGGTAGAGTGCCATGGTGTCATAGCTCACAGAAACCTCCAACTCTTGGGCTCAAGCCATCCTTTTGCCTCAGTTTTTCTTTCTTTTTTTTTCTCTTTAGTAGAGATAGGGTCTCACTTGGCTCAAATTGGTCTCAAAGCGAGACCTGAGCTCAAGCGATCTGCCCGCCTCGGCCTCCTAGAATGCTCGGATTATAGGCCTGAACCACCATGCCCAGCCTGTACAGAGTTCATTTTGACTTGCAGTTCTGCACAGCAGTCTTAAGAATGGACACTGATTCAAAGTCACTTTTAATCACTTTAATCCAGTGACTTTGGACACATTTCTTAACTTCTCAGGGTGTATGCAATAGAGCAATAAAATAGTACCCACTTCAGAAGGTCCTTGAGAGGAATAAATAAGTTAATATGTGTGAATTGCTTTGAACAGGGCCTGGCACATAATAAGAGCTATTATAATTATTATTTTATTCAGAAGTTCACTTATATTTTCTAATGAATGAAGACTTGTCCTTGCCAGAGCTTTCAGATATTATCAGATATCTGATATTAAATCTGATATTAAATTAAAGCAATCAGATATTAAAATTCATCATTCACTATTGAAGGTTTTTTCTCCTTTTTATTTTCCAGAAATTGGCAGGAGGAATGAGGTGGTTACTTGAATGTCAAATAAAAGAAATAATAATTTACCTAAGATAGCGCTGAGGCTAACAGAAAGAATAAATGAACAAAACTAAATTGTTGCTTCTAAGTTAGAAATTAAATGCAAATTACGTCTGCTTGGTTATATTTTAATACGTTTGATTTGTAAACATGTCTTAATATCGAAGAAATAAAGGTAGTCTATTTTTTGTCCCTACCTTGGATAATAATATAAGCAAACATTGCCTTCTCTTTTCTTTTGAGCCGTGTCCTGCCCTTCAGAAGCTTAGAGAATGTTAGATTAGTTCAGGCAGTCCTGCTAAATAACTGTCTATGTCGTGGAGCAGAGATGTGAGCCAGAGTCCTGGTTATCTCATGTCTTCTCAGAGCCTGCACTATCTTTCCCAGGAGGCTGGTCACTGAGGCAGAAAAAACTTCCCCATCTATCCCCTGCCATCTCATTAATGTTCAGGCTTCTAATGGTATTTTGCTTTTATAGTTTTAAAGAAACATGCAAATGAAAAAACGTAAGTGGTGTTAAGCCGTGATTAATGACTTACACAAATGGAACCGGCTAGGGTGAAGCACGCACTCATTCCCTGTACTCTGTTACTGTCCGTGAATACAATGAAGCCTCCATGCACAAAACATGCCAGGTTGTCCCAAAGCCTTGCTTTTCTGAAGAATTATAAAATCACTGGTTGTAAATATTGACCGGCTCCTAACATAAGCTGACATCTGTTTTATGAAATTTGCAAAATCAATAATGTTCCTGTAGTACTTACAAGGCTGACACATCGGAGGAGCGTGTATAACAGATTCTTTTTGTTTTAACCAAAGAGCTATTATGATGCTCTTTTATGATGCTTTCATCTGATGAATGCAGATAAAAGTACCCTATGGATGAGCGAACCTTCTTTGGAGATTCCACCGATATGTTTTTGTCTAGCATGACAACGATTTTCTTATTTATATTTTTGACGTATAACTGAAGCAACAGTGTTCTCTCTGTTAATTTTTTCTCTTTGTATATGTTATCCATAGACATTACTAGAAGAGGAAAAAATAAAACAAGGAAATCTGTTTTAGGAAAACCAGTTTAATAATACGAAAGGCAAAATAGAGACAGATTTAAAAAGTGAGGTGCTAGGTCACATAATTAAACAGTGCTATTAATATATTAATTTTTAACCCAAGAAAGCCAAATAAATTTCAGAATTAACTTTCCATTAATGTGGCAAAATGAGATCTGTTAGATATTGATTTTCCAGTAAATTAGGGGGGAAAGGTTCTTACTATAAAGTTTTGACAGGATCTATAAAAGAAAACCTTAAATGCTTGCTCAGTTGGCATTCCCACCAACAGTGTGTAAGAGTTCCTCTCTCTCTGCATCTACGCCAGTGTCCATTGTTTTGGGACTTTTTAATAAAAACCATTCTCAGTGGATTTAGATGGTATCTCATTGTAGTTTTAATTTGCATTTCTCTAACGATTAGAGATGTTGAGCATTTTTATTTATTTTGTGTGTGTGT